CTAGTTGCTCTTTAATAAATTACTCTAACCCTGAAGACTTTTCACATTACAGTGAAAATCTCTTCAAGCCAGGAATGGTGGCATACACCTGGAGTCCTAGCTACTCAAGAATCTGAGGCAGGAGGATAGTTTGAGCCTGGGGAGTCTGAGGCTATCCACAGCAACATGGCAGGAGGTTGTGTCCAAAAATAATAATTTAAAACTCTCACTTGAAAACTTTGCCAGAATGGATCCTTGCGTATTTCAGGTACTTGTGTTCTGTGCTTGACACATTTGTAGGCACAAGTGGAAGTTGATGAGATATACATAGATGGTAATTTTCATTCCATTTCTAAGGAAATGAGAAGTCATCAGTTACACATCAGTGAAATAATGCTTTCTGACCCAAATTTATCAAAATACAGACCCTGTGCTGAGATAGATTATTATATTTTAAATGACAGTGATCAGTTTTCCTTTTACTTTTCTTAACTGATAGCAAAGTAATAATTGTGATACTCATCATTTGATTCCCAGCTCCTGTTTCAGTTTAGGTGATTAATATTTGCTTTTGGATAAATAAGTACCTCTGTTTTTTTACACTGAGTAATACACATAAATCCTTGGCATCTTGATATTCACATGCTACTCATACAACGTGAGCATTGGGTAACTGCTCTGTGGCAGTCATTCTTCTATGTGTTCCTTATATTGAACAAAAACTTTTATCGTTTTGTGGAACTTACATCCAAATGGGAAGAGAAAGACAGCTAATCGATAAAAGCATATATTTAGAATAGTAATACATGATAAAGGAAACAAATGGAGGAAATAGGGCACAGAGAGTTCTGTGATTACAAAAGATATCCCTCAGCAAATCATATTTAGGCAGAATCTGTAGTCTGGATTTTTGAGTAGGCCTACTGTTTACCCTCACGACTCCCAGAAAAAAGTATTATAGCACTGATTTCCTTACACTATTCTTATGTATTAGTTACTTGTAAGAAATAAACATCTTAGATTGTCACTAGAATTTTCTTTCCTCATATAAGCCTGCTGTATCTCCCATTATTTAATATTATGGGATTGCCATCTATTCAAATAGGTGTATTAGTTTTCAAACAACATATTTCCAAATTCTTATCTGTACAAATTCATTACCATCAATTTCTTCCTACATAAGTTATCCTCAGTCCTAGACTTTATAAACAATTTGTATCCTCAGCTATCCTTGTAAGCCCAGCTAAATATCTACTTTTTCTACTTTTTCCAGGCCATACAAAATTCCTCAGTTTCCCAAAGTTTAAAACTCTTCCAGGAATTACTTTTCAGCTCAATTAATTCCACAAATAGCCAATTCCTTATTACAATAGCCATTTTATAAATCTGCCATTTAATTTTCTAATGATAATGATAATGATACTTCCAGCTTTTTTTAGGCCTGATATCATATTATATATATTTTCAATTTCCCTACCCAAGAAGGTGTATAATAGACAATTAATATACCTCAAAAACTGGTGGTCATACCAATCTATGAGACAGCCGGAATAAATGAGATGTCACTTAGGCTTGGGAATAAACACAAGATGCATTATGAGAAAATCAATATAAGATCATTATTAAATAGCTGCTATCATCCTTGAATATATAGCCTAAAAAGTAAATATTGTAAAACAATAGATTTTCTGTTCAACGTTTACATATACATTTATTAATTTTTTTCTAATAAATATACATTTATTAATGATTACTTAAAATATCACAATATTTCTTCTCCTATTTTACTCATTGTAGATGGCAAACTATTTTTCATATTTAAAGAAAATACTGGTTTGAATTTGCAATTGAAAATAGTAAGTCATATTGTATATTTTAAAATGACAAAAAGATGCGACTATGGACTAATAACTATGGTAATGATTTAGACATTATTTTAATTTCAATAGTTTTCAGTGTTGTCATATGAGCTGATTTGCTTTGATTGTTTGGTTAGATTTTCCTGAGAACATCTCAATCTGCATGTGATGTTTTACACACTAAAGTTTTATATATTAAATTTCAAGATTAGTTCTTAATATTTGTAGTAAAAAGTGCTGGGCTATGCATAAAAACAGAAAATTTTAAAACCTATCTTCTCAACTGCAGTGAGGACTTTTCCAGCATGTACAAAGAAAATGAATTTCTTCTTGATTAGTAAATGTTTTGATGAGTGAGTAGTTTTAAATTTCTATAATTTTAACCTTAAAACTAGTAAATTTGAAAGCTCAAAATTGAAAATATCACTACAAAAATGTTGTAAAGGAATTCCAGCTGTATGTATCCATCACATTAAGGGCGTATAAATTTTAAAAAATTGACAAATGTAAAGGATACTTTGCACTATAATTTTCTTATTATATAAAGTTTATTGAAAGACTTATAAAAATCTTATTAATATTAGAAACCAAATAATGTCAATGACCTTCTCTAACTAATTTGGTCATTTAATAAAGAAAGTTTTAGATTTTTTAAATGCTTCACCTATTTGAAAGGGTAATTGCTAATTGTGGAAATATTTAGTTCAAATACTAAGCTCTATATTGTTTATTTACATGTAAATTGAGTAGATCAATATTTATTTTAGGGTGTAAGTGTGTTGAAAGAAAGATATGTATAAAATACATTAACACTTTATAAATAAGGATTTCTGTTGTATAAATGAAATTTCTCAATAACTTTTTTCTGTTTGAAATGAAAAATAGTAGTATGTCCCTCTAAGATATCAAACAGAGATACTGAAGAAATATAGGCCCTTTTTGTTGTTTTTAAGGCCACAAGCAAAATGTAAAATGTTTTTCCCCTACCCATTAGAGAGATTTTCAGTCTGCTCTTGAGCAAGTATTGTTTTATCATTTCCTTCCAGTCAGAGTGACTGTCAGCTCTACGAATTTAATGATATGCAGGTGGAAGAAGGAAGGTAAATAGAATGCATTCTCTTTTCATTTTTGAGTGATCCATGATATATAAGTGGAATACCCTTTTTAAAAAGGCAAATTTCAGCTTGAAAACAGATAATGTTTGCAAATGAATGGTTAATATGGTAAAAAAACAATAAGGAAATATAAATACATCAAAAGGTTTGGCAAAGCATGTAAATTTTAATATTGTATTTACGAAGAACAACATTTGTTAAAAGACACTAATGGGATTCCTAATATGCTATAAACACTCACATACACACACACACACACACACACACACACACACACACACACAGAAACACAAAAACACACATAAATACTGACAAATACACACCCAAGTTCAAATTTGAAATGTGTGGCAGCCTTGAACTCAGTTCAGTATCAGAGCTAATGCATATTCCCACTGTTGTGCTTTATTCTGAGTGATAGAATTAGAAGAGAAATCTATAAGAATGACTCAGGAAGAAAAGGAAAGGCAAACATATGATACATTAAATGAGAGGATTGCGACCTGAAAAGAGCTAAACAGTTTTTTAAAATTATTTGTAGAAGTTCAATATAATGACTAACAAATCAATAAGTAAAAATCAATAACTTTAAAGCATGCCATTTAGAAAATTGTCCAGAAAGAAAGGATATCATGTGTCTATCATGAAGACAAATAACACCTAAAAAATTAACAAAAACTTCATAGAAAGTGTGATTAAAAATAGTTAATGTTTAAATTTTAAAAATGGAATAAAAATTACCTTTAATCTCTCTCAAAAGAGTTCCTGTCACTTTGAACACATTTATTCCATTGTTGTTACTGAACCAGTTTTGAAATTCCTCTTGTGAAAGAAAGAGGGGAAGAAAGAAAGAAAGAAAGAAAGAAAGAAAGAAAGAAAGAAAGAAAGAAAGAAAGAAAGAAAAAAGAAAGAAAGAAAGAGAAAGAAAGAAAGAAAGAACACTTAGTGTAACCGCCTTGGGTTTAATTGTTAGTATGAAAGAGAGAGACAGAGAAAGAACAAAAGAAAGGGAGAAAGGCAGGAAGG